CCGCACCACCCAGCATCCATATGCCCTAATGGATCATCTGGTGTTTCCCCTTGAACACCTGCAACGCATCGATGATCTAACAACCCACCATCTACAATTGCGAGTTCTTCAAGGATTTGTCTTTCCGGGATTTCTTCTTTCTCTTCCGGTGACTGCTGCATAAGTGAGACAACTCCTTTCGGTTGCAGACATCTTATGATCACGTTCCATCTTGGCTCGGTTCAAAGGATATGTCACTTTGATTTAACGTCCGTTGGGGTCCCCGTGAGCCAAGACGGGCCCGATTCGAGCATGAGAGACTATATATTGGTGGGAGCTTGCTGGTCTGCAACCTCAATCGTTTGAGATCGATTCGAATAGAAGGTTGACTCCTGGCAGAACGGAACTCATTTTTGTAAACTCCGAGATATAGCGTCACTGTGTTGCTCATCTGTTAACTCTGATGTTGTGAGCGTATAGTTGGGTCTCCAGAGTAGCTCGTAAAGTGTCATATCAAAGGAAGAATACTCCTTTCTTTCTTCATTATGCCACTCTGAATCCGTTGTCGAGGCCCTTGCTCTCTATCACGTTCGTCTGCACTGATCGCCTCTTCACTCAAGAGGGTTGGAGAGGACGGGAAGGTGATGAAGCTGTTCGAGAGGTGATACGGAGAGATCGTCCATCGAATTGGAATCCCAACGGCTCTAGGTAGTAGGTAGCAACCAAAGATTGACCCCCGAGCTCAGCATGTCCACTCAACTCAGTGCAATAGTTGAAAAAGGATCAACGTACCCCCGGTCCAGGTGGTCGGACGTAGTACATTGTACGTAGTACCAGACGTAGTATGTGCAAAGGCAATCTACATCCATGATGGATGAGATATGTCAGCCATGTACCCCACGGGGCGGCAAGTCAAAAATATTTGCGATCAACATCAAGCAGATCACTGAGCACGGTGATTCGGGATTGACCCCGGGCTGATCTCGAGTAGGATCTCGCTCCCATAGCACCTGCATGGATGCCCGTTACCTTGAGGTAGCCATGGATGGCACTACCCAGCAAGACGCGGGAAAAAACGAAAAGAGAGAATCGTGCGATCTATTGCGTCAATTAACTCAAGGCTCACGCATTGTCTGTACGTGCCCTGCGGGCCCCGTGGTCTTGCCTATTGCCCAAGGCCGGCGTCGATGAATTGAGAGCCCGAAGAAGTTCACCACGAGGAATATTCAGTTCAGAGCGGAGAAACGGTGATCAGACGCATCACATTTTACCATGGCGGATACCGAGATCAAGTGATGTACCGAGTTGACATGGAACATTTGTGCATAAATCCGCATGACTCTAGATGAGCTAAAGTCAATAATTCCCATTGCAGATAAAAAGCAATAACTACAAAGTACCATCTCACTACCTGGAGTGAGTTCAACCCGTCTCCTTGGGGTGGTGGCCAATCGAGCAAGGTGTGTCGGGTGCATGGGAATCATATCTCACGATGGTCTTGATGATTATGTGTGTGTGAATGATGAAACAGAACTCAATTCCGCATAAGAAAGCATCAGCAACCAGTTTTGTGTCTCTAAGGAGATATCGCGTGGATTCCGTCAAGGTCGTTTCCAGTGTAACATGGGGCCAACTTAAAATGGAAACAGTTGATCATCGTGGCCCCCACAACATGTGGAAGACGACGGACCTCATTTTTTGCCACTCCGCAAACTGTTGATCACAGAGATTGGCTCAGTCCCAGGTTGCGCTCCCGTGGCTTTGCATTCTAGATGATCTTGTCGGTGGCCTGGTGGTGCCTCCTACGTCGACCTACATGCTGCGCACCGGGGATCTCGTGAATTCATACTACGATCCATGTTGCCAATACAATAGTCTTCTCTTTCCGCTCAGCCGTTGACTTGAATTTGATTGATAAAGTGATGGCTCACTTTTTGGGGTACTATACGCTTTGCTCTTTACCCTGTCCAGATATCATGGCACTACACCATCCATGTAACAGATTGAAGGAGTAGGGCCATGACGTGAAAATCTAGGTATTTTGCGGGCAACCTTCATTATCACTAAACGAGTCAACTATATCTCTCCCATGATGTGTACAAGAAAAGGACCGACCGGGCACTCGACTCACGCACCGTTCAGAGTAGATCGCTAGTGCAGTCTAAGCACTCGCATTTGGCCCCAAGCTCACTGCAGTCAATCCTTGACATGGAAGCCGATCCATGGGGTCGATTTGCGACCATTGAAAGCCCAATTCATGCATCACGCTGGGGGGCGGCCAAGCGATCGTCCAGACATTTCTGCTACTGAAGCCCAGTTTGACAATCATGAATGACTGCCACGCGAAGCCTGTCTGACAAATTTGTTGCATCCTTTCCGGCCCCAATCATACATTTCATCACTTCATGTATCAAGTACGTTAGGGCTATTGGACATGTTAGGAGATCTAACTAGCTCATCCACGTTTTTTTTTATAATACCGATCGCACGCCCACCCGGTGTTTCAGCAAGACATCGCTGACCCAGCTCTTCTATGCCTACATATCTCCACCGTGTCATAACTTACTTGTGGGCTTCTCTTGTGCCATGGACGACTTATTGAATACACCTATTGTCGCCGTTTTGGGTCCGCCGCCTGCATCTGTAAATCTTGAAGATAACCGTACCTGGAAGGACAATGCCATTGTCATTTCAATCTCCGCGGTTGCAGTGCTCAGCGTGGCTGTCAGGTTTATCGTACGGCTCAGAAGTCATAATGCAAGACCGTTTATGGATGAGTGGCTGGCTGCGGTGAGCCTGGTATGTCTTCTTTCTCCCATCCCACTCTCCCACTTCTTCGATAAGTGATGGACTCAACAGTCTACCGTCTACCAGCAATCCACTGACCTATGGTTCTCCAGGTCCCCATGCTTGCTCTGCTCGCTTCTGCGCTGGTCGCAGGACATCACGGCTTGGGCAAGCATGTCTGGTTGCTGGACATTGGGGTGATGGTTAAATTGAAAAAGGTGTGCACCAAGAATATCAATCACAAACCCAAGCCCATAGATGCAATCATCGGCGTTCAGTTGATTCTTGAGGGTCGTCGCTAACAAGTCATTAACTAGATTCTCTTCTCATACCTCTTCATCTACCTCTTCGAACTCTTCTTAATCAAGCTCTGCATTCTCAGTTTCTACCGGCGAATCTTCGGACGGAGAACCACCATCTGGATCTGCCTCTTCTTAACAGTTGGCTGGACCCTGGGCAGTATGATTGCGCTCTTGACCAGCTGTGATCCCGTCTCTTATTTCTGGACATCCACCTATGATCTCAACAGCGGACATTTTCGCTACGACTTTTACGACTATTACATTGGAAATGCGGCCGCCAATGTACTCATCGATCTGTTGATTCTGCTCATTCCGATTCCAGTGGTCTGGAATCTGAAGATGCGTATCACCCAGAAGCTGATGATTACCAGTGTCTTTTTCATCGGCGTATTGTACGTTCCCGACTCCATTTTACCTATTCAATATCAAGCAGTAAGCACACCTTACACTCGCTAACCCTCCAACCCGGATCGATAGTGTCTGCGTGGCCAGCATCGTGCGACTCCACTGCCTGACGTACCTCAAAAACACCGTCGACATAACATGGTACATGAGCGACGTCTACGTCTGGTCCACAGTCGAGCCCTGTCTCGGCATCATCTGCGCATGTCTACCCGCCCTGCAGCCCCTGGTGCAATCCTTCATGAAAGCAGAACACATGCTGTATCTTCGCAATCGAGTCCGACACAGCAAACAAGTGAACCAGTTCCGCACACGCATCAGCAACAACAGCAGTAAGAGCTTCAGTCGCAGTCGCAGTCGGAGCCAAACGAGCGATTCGCTCGATGATAAGCCCGAGTTGGGCTTTCGGTCCAATGATGACGAGGTGCATCTGACGTCGTGCGTGGCTCAGGCTGAGTCGGAGCGGTGTCGCAGGGAAAGGGAGAATTTGGAGGAGTTTCTGGGGCCGATGTTTATTCGGGTCGAGCATGAGGTCGAGTGGACGATTGATCGGTCTTGATGAACCCGTGGCCGTTGTTGTTGGGGTTTGAATAGTTCTAGGTATTACTGTGTTGGGGATATTGGCCAACACTATTGTCTAATTTATGAGAGGAAGCTCTGTTCTTCCAGTTTCGGAACGTGATCAAAGACCGAGTGTCTCAGTCATTAATATCTATACACGATCATCGAGAGTCTTCTTGTAAGAAATGCCTCCCCAGATCAGGTCCGAGATTACCTACCAAGTCGAGGAGTCACGGAGAACAAAAAGAGAACAAAACATTGAACAGGCTGACCCATATCCATGCTCGTGCTGTGACAAGACTACTAAGACTTGATCTAAACAAAGACTGCCAAAGTCTAGCAAAAAGTAATGCAAGTCAGCAACAGCTCGCCCACATCCTCACACAGCTCCAGCCTGGAGCAATGAAGCGAGGACAAAAAGGTTCAAGCGACGGCTGTCGGATTCGAACCGACGCCCCCGAAGGGAATTGATAACCGAACAATTCGAGTCAATCGCCTTAGACCACTCGGCCAAACCGCCTACTGCTTATGTAACTCGCTTAAGTCATTTGGAGTATGAGGAGGTGAAAATTGGTGAGGATTAGAGGTTGTGCTACGAATGTATTGGGGTTGCTCCATTCCCGATCTTGAAATCAATCACTTTTTGCGCGTGGTGCAACAACAATCTTAGTGTTGTTTGGGGGACGGCTATCAAACACTGCGACGATGAACTACCAAGCTGGCCTGAGGTAATACGATTCACCGATTCGACACTAATTTCCAACTCAGGTCGAGAGGAAGACAGAGCTCCATCGATCACTCGTGTTTCGCTGCAGTGCCTGAGTCCCCAGTGGCCCACTGCCCAGTCACGTGCTAATACGGTCTTGGACGAATTGCTGCATAATCGAAAACGAGATACCAAAAGTAGAAGATAGTGCTGATGCAGAAAATGATCCATCAAGCAAAACGCAGTGGCAATCACCAATGAATGGCGGTTTGGCCGAGTGGTCTAAGGCGATTGACTCGAATTAGTCGGTTATCAATTCCCTTCGGGGGCGTCGGTTCGAATCCGACAGCCGTCGCTTGAACTCTTTTTCTCTTTTTTCACTTCCCACTCCTTGCCTCCCTCGTTTTGCCAATGTTCTTCTTTCTTGTTTCTGTTCTTTTTTATTCAATCGCCCTTGCTTTTCATTGCCATGGCTTTACATAGCTGGATTCGATTAGTCTTGTAAATTGGGATACAGAGCGGACTGCGGACTGTGGACTGCGGACGGTGGTGAGGAAGTCGTATTTTGCCGCGGGAACTACAGCATTTGGGTTGCGCTTCCGGCTTCTTCATGTTTGAAGTTGGTTGATTAGCTTGATTAGGGACCGTATACTTCAGATACGAGGTTTGATGTGCAGGCTCAAAGGTTCCTAGGTTAGGTAGGTAGGTAGGTAGGTAGGTAGGTAGGTGGGAGAGAGAGACTGAGAGCGCGATCCCGCGGACTACCTAGATAGTAGGTAAGTACAGTCATGGGACTGAGTGTATGCAGCAGTGGCACATCCGGGCAAAAAATGAAAGAATCTCTGGGGCTTTACGCGAGAAAACGAGGCGCTAAATAGAGGTATGATTGCTCAACGTATAACGCTTGGTTGAAACTCTGAATTTGATGTACTTCAAGGTTTTCCCTAATCTGCGGCATGTATGCATCGCGATAAATGTCAATCCAGCTCAGGTTCAACTTCGGCTTCACGCAAGTCCCAATTCCTGGTAGAATGCATCAGTGCGCGGCTCCCGACCCAGGAACTCCGTCAGAGTGGTCATCTCATCCTGGCTACCGCCCTTCTCCAGAACAGTGTGGCGATAACGACGGCCATGTTCCTTGTTCATGGGGTCATCCTTGAACACGGTGTAGAACATATCCGTCGAGTAGACCTGCGAGCTCAGATAACCATAGTATCCGGCGTCGTAACCGCCGATCAGGTGGCCGAAAGTGGCTTCGCCGTGGCCCCAATCATCGCTGGCGCCGAGGGCTTCGGGGCCGTCCATCTGGGTGATCTCACGGCGGAGACGGTTGTATGTGGCAGAGATGGGAAGGGCTTTGATGTCCTCGTGGCTGGCGGGCTCGTGGACGGCCATGTCGAATATACCAAAGTGGAGCTGGCGCAGGTTGAATAGAGCGTCGTTGACGTGTTTGGTGGAGATCAAGCTCTTGACGACCTCGTCTGGAATGCGCTCGGATGGAGGGGCAGTAGCTGTCTTGCCACCACTCTTGGCTTGCTGCGATTCTTGCCAGCCTGCAAGGTACTCCGGGGACAAGGTGGAGTAGTGGCGGCTGAGGGCGCGCAGTTGGGAAGGCGTCCAGCACCAGTTCTCAAGCATCTGACTAGGAGCTTCAACAAAGTCCCGGACGGTGTTGGTACCGTGGAAGCGAGAGTAGATGGTCTTGGACACAAGATCGTGGATACCGTGACCCAGCTCGTGGAACAGAGTGACGACTTCGTCGTGCTTGAGCAAAGAGGGCTTCTTGGGCGTGGGCTTGGTGAAGTTGCAGACCAGTGCGGTTGCGGGATAACGGCGCTTGCCCTCGGCATCGATGAAACCCTGGGGGGAAGAAACACGCAGTGAGTTGAGACGAATCGTAAATAAAGAAGAGCAAGTGGATGGGAAAGAAGATCATCTTACCGGCTGAAGGTTAAAGTTGGCGGCATGACCATACTTGCCCTCACGAGGGAACAAATCGAGGTAAAGATAGCCAACGAATCCACTGCCCTCACCCTCGTCGTCCCACACGCTGAACACCTGCACATCCTCATGCCAGACGATATCGTCACCCTTGCCTGTGGGTGCCACGGCGGCGCGATCTTCACCCACGATCTCAACAAACTCCAATCCAAACAGCTCCTCGAAGATCTTCAGCATACCCTGAATGGTCGTCTGCAAAGGGAAATATTCTGCGATCAGCTGCTGATCCAGTGAATAATCCTTCTCCAGCATCAGACGATCGTAGAAGCGGTGATCCCAGAGGAAATAGCGACCATCGGCCTTGGAATCGGTAGACTTCTTCAATTCCATCAGGGTCTGAATCTCCCGCTTACCGCCTGCAGTAAGACGCGAACGCAGATCGCCCAAGAACTTATTCACGGTTTCCGGGGTCTTGGCCATCTTATCTTCAATGCGGAAGGCCGCGTGGTTGGGGTAGCCCAGCAAGCGGGCAGCCTCGTCACGCAAGATGATGGCCTCACGGAACAGCGGTACATTTTGGTTGCACTTGTTCTCGTTCTCAATCATCAATTTCTGACGAGTCTCGGAATTGGTGGCATACTTCATGGTAGGGAACAAATCGGGATACTTGAAGGTCAACCAGAGCTTGCCGGCGTTTTCGCCCTCGCCCTTCTTCAGGCCAGACAGGACATCCTCGGGGACACCGTCTAGTTGTTCCGGAGTGAACCACAGACCCCCATTCTCCTCGTTCAGATTCTTCTGGAACTCAATGCTGAGCGTGCTCAGCCGTTTCTTGATTTCCTTGAATCGATCACGCTTCTCCCCCGCGGGCAGAGACAGCCCGTTGCGAATGAAATCCTTGTGCTCCTTCTCCAGCAGGCGACGAGACTCGGGGTCCAAAGTCTCATTCTTCTTTAACACAGCATCCACCAACTGGTAGACGTCCTCTCGCATCACAGCCTCGATGAAGAACTCATCCATCAACTCCTCAGCCTTGGATGACGCATCACGAAGCTTCTGGTCCGTCGACACAGCCTGGTAAAAGCCAATGATGTGGGACTCTAGAGCCATTTCATTCTGATCTCGGGACAAAGGTTTCAGGACATTGGCAAAAGTGGCTGCGTCAGGCTTCACCTCCGCCACAAGCTTGTCCTGGACAGCCCGCGAGGTCTTGATGAGACGCTCTGCATCCGCCACGACCGACTGAGGGGTCGCAGTGAAGACCGGAGGAGCCTGAGGAGGTGTTCGGAGGTGAGAGGGTGCCATGCTGGAAGTCGTCAAATAGCGGTAGTAGACAGGTGTCGGAGTGCGGAAATGACCCAGCACAGAAGACAGGCGGGCGGGGAGACGGAGGAGGGGCGCCACGGTGAGGATGGCGAAGAGGAGGACGAAGAAATGTAGGTGAGCGGTGAGCGCTATGCTGGGCGGAGAGAAGGTCCGTGGAGGAGGATGTGTGAGGGGTTGGGAAATAGTATGATATGCAGGTGGAGAAAGGTGATTCGAGAGTACGACTCACAAGGATGCAACTGTACACTCTGCGACAATCGGGGCGACTAGTACCTGTGCTGGCGGAGCTTAGGGTATTGCCGCCTGAGGCACCGATGGATCGCACAGCGCCACCAGGTCCTTCTCTCATGATCAATCCCTTTTGAGCAACGCCGACCTCGGCACACGAACGCGATAGCAACACTGACATGGCTGCGAGAGATCCACCCCCGCAGCCGGCCGAACGAGGCTAGCAAGTCAAATTGAGCTCAGATATGACGATTTGCCTAGACTCATGCATGACGTTGAGTGTTTTGATCGCTGCCGTAGCGATGTAGGATGGACCCACGATAGCATGTTACTACTGTACAGAATTCTACAAGACTCGGATTCAACGGTTGAGCAAATAAATGGATACAGGTTCATTTCTTATTCGTGAAGTATTGTGTCAGAAAGCATCGCTTTTTAAGAACCGAGCAAGTGAAAAGGAACAAAAAGAGAAGACGAGTCCTTGATGAAGACTAGTGGGAACGCCCAGAAAACGCCGCAGCCGCCATGACCCACAGGAATGCAGTATATGTTGTGTCTAAGCAAAACGAGAAAAGAGATGGTGCAGTGGGAGAGAAGCCAACTAAGCGGCATCCGCGGTGGGGATGGGCTCAGGGATCTTGGTCACCTGTTGGCCAGCACGAATGACACGCTGACCCATCTCATCACGAACATATTCTGAGTTTTCCTTGTGGCTGCGTTTCCAGATCTCGACTTCGCAACCGCCTCGGATGACACCGACACGCATGGTGGAGAGCAGGTTGTGGGCGGCGTTGGAATGATAGTAGATACCGCCATTGAACATGGCGGTGGCATCCTTGCCGATACCAGAGTTGATCATGGCCTTACCACCGGGGTGGTCCTTGATGAAGTCGGTGACGTCGTGAACCACACCGGCAATGGCGATCAGACCACGACCGTTCTTGGCCTGCTCAACGTACTCATCCCACTCCATGACGGGGAGCTGGTCAAGAGGAGTACCCCAGTCGAGGCGAGCACGCTTCTGGTCGATCTTCTTCTGGAGCTGCTGGACACGTCCCTTCTCAATCTCGTTGGCACGGAACTGCTTCAGGTCGTACGCGAGACCCAGCTGCTTCCACATCCAGATGGTCCACTTGGTGGGGTCGTACTGGTGCCACTCGATGGCATTGCGGTAATCGGAAGGGAATTCGTGGTGGAAATTGTGGTAACCTTCACCAAGAGTGACGAGGGCGGTGATGACGTGGTCACGAGGAGAGTTGCGGTCATCGAAGGGCTGATCACCGAGCCAGTGGGCCAGGGAGTTGACGCAGAAGGTAGCCTGCTGGACGAAGAAGATGCGCAGGATACCGGCGTAGACGAATCCACCGAACCAATCACCCCAGCCGAGACCAGCAACAAGCATGGGAACAATGAGACCCATACCGAAGACAACCTTCAGGTAGTGGCGGTGCTGCCAGATGACGACAGGGTCCTCGTTGAGATCGGAGATATCGGTGCGGCCGATACGCTTGGGGTTCTGCTTCATGACCATCCAGCCGAGGTGGGAGTACCAGAAACCCTTGCGGACCGAGTAAGGATCCTTCTCGGTGTCAGTGTAGCGGTGGTGGGCGCGGTGACCGCGAGCCCACCAGCGGATGGAACCTTCAACGGCACCACCGCCAACGAGAGCAAGCCAGATACGAAGGGGCAGAGTGGCGGAGTATGAGCAGTGAGCCCAAAGACGGTGGTATCCTGCGCGATGATCAGTCAGTTTCGGCGGATTCTCTAGTTGGAGGGATACACATCCGGTCTGGGATGATAGATTGAATGCTTACCTGCGGTGATTCCGAGACCAGTGAAAAAGTAGTAGATAACGGCCCA